ATTCAGAAAATGGCGCGATGCCTGTCGTGCAGTGTTGTGGTGCCCTTATGTGATTAAAATTGATCGCGTGGGAAACTGCTGATCTGTTGGCGACTTCTGCTACCATCAATGATGAACTGTAATTCTAATACTGTGATATACAGTCTGTGTGTTTTTCGTTGGCACAGGAGCGGAGCAAAGATGGGGTGACCCGTTTGTTATGAAGCTGAAACTCAGACAACCAGACCAATCAAAATACAGAATGGATATAACAGCAATTCCAGAAATAAGATGGCCAGGACAGGGTACCATAGAGGAAGATGGAATGATCATAGTGTGTGGAGGAAAGACTCAAAACAAACATGAACTAGGGACAGGATTTGTTATCAAGAAAAAGTTGCGGGAAAGCATTATAAATTTTGAAGCTGTTAGTGATAGGATCAGTAAAGTTGCAAATAAAAGGTTAATGGAAAAATATCACCATGATTAATGTGCATGCACCCACTGAAGAAAAAGAATATGATATTAAAGAAGATTTTTATGATCTCTTTGAGAATATCAAAGATGAAGCTAAAAAACGAGACATATTGATTGTATTAGGATATTTTAATGTAAAAATAGGAAAACATCTATAAAAATATAACAGGCATTGAAAGCCTAGATACTAATTCAAACGATAATGGATGGAGATTAATCAATCTTGCTGTAGCACTGTCTGTCTTAAAAAAAATCAGCTTAGAAAATGGGACTAGTTATCAATCAAGATTAGTCAGAATACATGATATCATATAGACAGGGAAAGAATATAAACTCCGGCCACATACAAGTCGATAAAATGAAAATCAAACGAACGGAAACATATAAGTACTTGGGTGCAAAATTCAGCTGCTCTAACATGCTGAGAAAAGGAATACAATCTGGAAATAAAGTAAACTATGCCCTTCAACATCTGCTAAAGTCAACGTGTCTGTCGCGCAACACCAAGATCAAAATATATAAAATGTTGATAAGACCAGTCGTGTTATATGGTTCTGAAACTTGGAGCACAACTTAAAGAGATGAAGCCTTATTACAGGTTTTCGAAAACAGTCTTACGAATCTTTGGACCCATCGAAGATGCAAACAGCGGTGAATGGAAAGTGAGAAGCAACATGGCTGGGACATATTGAAAGAATGTCAGATGACAGAAGTAAAAACTGTATACACCAGGGAGATGAATAGTCGTAGACACGAGACAGACCAACAAGACGATGGAGAGATAATATCCAGACAGACCTGCAAACACTTGGTGTCACCAACTGGAAAGAGAGGGCCAACCAGAGAGATGAATGGAGGAGGGTGATACTTGCAACATTGAACCTGAAGAGCTCGAATGCTGAAGAAGAAGAAGACGGCCTTGGTTTGCCCTTAAGGCGCCTGGTATGCCATCTTATGGTGTTTACAGATATGTTGCGATATCTGCACCTTTCGACCCAACAAACAAACCGTATCGTATCGTATAAAATCAAACAAAAATTTCAAGCTTAGTCCTTTTTTAGCCGCCTGATGGCCTGCTTTTTCAAGGACGGTTCCTTTGCTATCTTATTTTATTTATATTCCTTGTGGTGATCACTTTCACCTGAGTTTGTTCATTTGTTGCCTAAGTTCTGGTTCTGAGGGGCCTGGTTCCTGTTTAATTGGCTATTCGCTAGCTTTTGCACTGTTCATCTGTGTTAGCACCAAGTCAGTTTGAAGTCACACCGCCACGAAACAAACAGTTCCGCATACTGAGCGCCCTAAAACACGGCCCCCACAGGACGACTGTCACAATCTTGTTGTTGTGTGCAGCCGTTAGATAAGTAGAGGAGGTAACAAAGGTTGCAAAAAAAATTAGAACGCCCGAAGGTGCAAAGATATTGTATAGCTAGGTCGGAAGTTGGAGAGAGACAGATAGCTTGCTAGGTTGAGGAAGAGGTCCTTGGTGGGTTGAGTCCTGCACACTGCCTGCTCTGCCTGGGTGGATCTGAAAAATAGCTTGTTGGGAGGGTCACTTTAGTTTTGTACAAAACCCTCAAGATAATTTTTGTACAAAAGAACTACGACCGTCTCTAAAATCTATTCTAAAAGACGGTCGTGAAGAGAACACCCATCCACACAGCTGACTGTAGTTTTATCTACCATCAGACAACAGACAGATACCAGCCATGTGTCTCAACTCAGGAACACACTATTGTTGTCTACCAGTTGCCTTCCGTACACACACCCGCCTGCACCAACACAAACCCGGCCATTTGATTGGTCGAATCTTCTCCATGTCGTTTCAAACGCGAATCAGATTGGTCACGTCTTCTCATTGTCGATTTCAAAGTTTAGGGCGGCATAGATAGGGAGAGAGGCCGTGTTGTGTAAATAACTTAGCCGTTTAGTTTGTGGATGTTTGAATGAGTACCTATATCAGATGACACTATCATGACTTTGAAAAGAAATAAGGTAAGACATTATATTCATACTGACGCCACGCGTTTCTTGAATGTTGTCAAAGTTTAAAACGAAATGTCTACCATGTTTGGTTAATCCCGGCTTGTGCAACTGTAACTCAGTAACTGCCGATTCAGTTCAGTTGTTGTTATGCGAGTTATCCCAGTTACGAAAATCAAACAATGTCCCACAACGAGACTGCTTTTGTTTAAATTAAAGAATTAATACATGATAATACGATATTTGTCATCGAATAGTGCTACAAAAACAGCTTACATTTTCAAATTACTTTAACAATGTTTATGAATGAATGTTGCCAGCCAGACCACACAATTAATTACAATATTTGAATATAATTTTTCAGGGAAAATTTAATGTCTGATCCTGGATCATTCACTATATACTATATATAATTATATATATATACTAATAATAAATTATAATTCATATCATTAAGTGGTTTTGTTGATTAGTTGAAGTTTCAAGTTATCTAGTAGACAGGATTGGTATTATATTATTAGTTGTACATTATTATTAAAGGCAACTGTCGTGTGACTGAGTGATTGTGATGCACGTTGTTTTGTTAAAGTTAGTGACTTAGTCTTAGTTGCCACTCTGTGGTGACACTGTGAATTTGAACAAAGATATATTCTGATAGTCAGAAGTTATTGTTTACGAGTGTGTTCTACTTTTGGATGTTTTTGTGTGTGTTAACCATTAACTATAAATATATTTAATTATTGTTCAGATCTGCAACCACTTTTATTTTTATTCTAATTTTTTTTTTTCAAGTTAAAAGTTTCAGCAAGTATCATCATCATCCTGTAAAATAAAAACCAATAATTTTTGTTGCTGACACTGACACAGTCTCAGCCATATGTTTTACTTTACCTGCTGTCAGTTACTAGTTTATCTTTTAATATTATTGTTATTCACTTATTTTGATTCACTATTTTTTTCTTCAGAATTTACAATAACTGGTTGTTTTACTGATTAGCCATATCTATTTTCACTAGTCAGTGTTATTTCGTGGTTGCAATTACGGCTAAGAAAACCATCAGTCAAACACTCCCCCTTCCTGAGTGAGTAGGTTCTGGGGCCTCATTGTGGGCAAAACAAGAATATACACTAATTGGGAACTTCCTTTGAGAGGGGTAAGGAACCAACAGTCTGCATACACATGTCAGATCTGTAGAATGGGTGTGCACGCAACACTCAGGTTCTGGAGTAGTAGTGGATGAATAACCAGAATTTACCACCGGAGTTTAGCCGGTGAATGCTAAAAAGAAGCATATTCCTTGTATAGATTCCAGATCAAAATGTGACCACTTCATGCCATCTCTCTTCCCTGCATCAGTGGCGTGCCATTTGAAGGACCTATGAAAGGCAAGTAACCCACTGCCTCTCACTGTCTTTCGGGACTCAATATGTCTTGTAACATTCTCTTCAGACACTGCTGTTTTATCAAACTTGTGTTCCAGTACACCCGATTTGTATATAAATTTTGTTAAGTTAAGTATTTCTTTTATTGTCTCCAACTTATTTCTAAAGAAGGTTTTTGTTTTACTTTGTTTGGAATCTATGTCCAACAGGAAAGACTGCCAGTAGCTTCACTACTGTTAGCATTGCCCTTGGATCTACTGGGACATGCAAGCTCTTCTACTGCCTCAAAGTGTAATACATAAAATACTATTCCTTCTTATTTGTCAGGTTGAACCTTGGGTAATGAAACACATTAGCATAGATATGTGATGGACTTCCGGTTAAAATGGACGCTAGACAGCGGCGCCGTTCGGAACAGAGGCAAATTTTTTGCTTCTGCCGGACGGTGGCCGATGCATTTTTGCTCCATTTGTAGACTGGATATAGTTTCGTCGCCCAGCTTCTGAGTTGAATGCATGGCGTGACCCTGTGAGCTGCGTATTGCATTTGGAATGGTTTTTTTTCGACTGTGACCAACGTGGTGGTGTGAATTGTAGATTCAGAAAATGGCGCGATGCCTGTCGTTCAATGCTTGCGGGACCCGTATTAAAATTGATCACGCGGACAACTGCTGATCTGTTGACGACAAGTTCTGCTATCATCAATGATGAACTGCATTTCTAATGTTGGACTGTTTGTGTTAGCACTTCGGATGGCTACCATATGCTTTAATGCGAGTGTATGCTAGATATGCTGAGACAGCAGTCTGTCAATCTTTCCACAAGGGACTGTGATAGACATTCTGAGTGTTTTTCGCTGGCACAGGAGCGGAGCAAAGATGGGGCAACCCGTTTGCTATGAAGCTGAAACTAAGACTACCAGACTACCAGACCAGATAGATATGTGATATAGGCGTGATCTATTGGGTATACAGTTTGAAGTAAATGCTCCCTACTTTGTTTTCTCTTATGGAAGTAGATAGCAAGGTAAGAAACTCTCATCTGTGTGAAATCCTTAGCAGTGAACACCTTTGTGGTACTGTCTGTGTTTTTCCCCTTTAACCTTCATTTTGCAAGTTACCAATCTTAAAATCATTTTTAGTTGACAAACTGTTTTAAAACTTTTCTTTTTTCTTTCTTTAGATGGATTCAAGCCTGGTGATTGTACCGCAGTTCGATGATCTGATGCGCAAGGCAAATGTGCTTCAGGCAGGCTGTGAAGCTGGTGAGTGTCTCCTTTTCTTTGAAGCAACAGTGATGAAAGAGTTCAGTATTGTTTATAATGACTGAATAATTCATAATTTCTCTCGAGGAAGCTTACTTTCGTTAATTTCACATACATAAACTCTCCTTCTTCTTCCACTCCCTTTTCCTTCTATTGCCACCACCCCTCCCTCTCTATTTTAGGCCATTGCATGTCAGAAGTGTGGAAGGAAGAGCTTGAGAAGAGAGGGATGACTATCAGCATCTCCAAAACTAAAACCATGGTGATCTCAAGAGAGGAAAAGACCAGACCATGATGGGGCAGTATGCTTTGGAGCACGTCAGCCAGTTCAAATACCTCAGAGTTATAATAAACTGAAAGTGAGGCATAAAGACCAAGCTGGCTACGCCAAAAGCAGCTGCTGGGAGACTTGTCCAGGCCATAACTCAGGGTTTCTTAACAAAAGAGAAATTGGCAGGAGGACGAAAATGGCTGTCTACCGCTCTACCTATCTGCCAGTCCTTACCTACAGGTGTAAGTCATGGGCAATGACAACAGCTCACAGAAGCCAGCTTCAGGCCTCAGAAATGAGATGTCTGAGGAAGGTGATCCAAGTAACAAGAAGGGACAAAGTCTGCATTCAGACAATACATCAAGATCGTAAAACCCAGGCCTTACAAACCCAAGTGGATCAGTCACAGTTAAGATGTTTTGGACATGTATGCAAAATGGGAGAAAATCGGCCACTATGGGAGGCTAAGAACCAGGGAACCAGACCTCCGGGGCCGATCTGGAAAGACAACATCCGACAGTCCCTAACTAATAGAGGACTGTATTGGAATAAAGCCAGAAAAAAAACTACCGATAGAGAAGTCTGGCGAAGTCTTTTTTTTTGGTTTGTTAACTAATTAAACAAAAATTGTCAGAATTATTTTAGACAGTGATCCCTTAGTGCAAGATATCAGAAGTTTTTTTTAAAGAATAATTTATTGTATAATGAGTTAGGTTTGATGGAAATTAGTGTTACATTTAGATGTCTCCACAGTGTGGATGGAGTGGTGTTACCTTGCACGTTGTTGCTGGTTGCTTTATTTATTGGTCATAGACATGACAAAAAGAAGACATAGAGGAATAGGAAAACATGTACTGCATTGTTTGTAATGCACATATTGTTAAACAAAACGTTGTTTCTTCTTGTGGCAGTGCCATTGAAAACTTGGAAACAGTTTTGTGGAATTAAATCATAGGTACTCATATATTTGGCAGTGGATATTTAACAGTTTTAATTTGTGTTTCTCAGAGTTTATTGCCTTTGCAATGAACCAGGATGAAGTCCGCAAGAAGTGGTTGAGTGCCGAACAGAAAAATGAGAGCCTTGAGGACAAGGTAAAGAGGCTAGAGTCACAGAATGCCTCGTTGGAGACACAGCTAAAACATGCCAGGTGAGGCAAATTCTAGTTTCAAGTTGTGTGTGTAGACAGTTATAGAAAGGAAAATAATGTAGGATCTGCTAGCGGTCTAAGGTGAAATTACAATGTTTGTGCAGTTTTAAATTTATATGTTACAAACTTTTTTTTTTTTAAATCTAGACCAAAAAGAAACAAGCTGTGATATGGGCTGAGAATGGTTTTAAAGATGATGGATCACTGTTCTCTTGTCACGGACTGCTGTTTTGTGTAGCATCTGGTTTTTCTATCAATCAAGATAAGACAGAATACATGATAATAACTGTACAGGGAAAGGATATAAACTCTGGCCACATACAAGTTGATAATATGAAAATCTAACGTACGGAAACATATAAGTACTTAGGTGCAAACTTCAGCTGCTCCAACATGCTGAGAAAAGGAATACAATCTGCAAATAAAGTATACTATGCCCTTCAACATCTGCTAATGTCAAAGTGTCCGTCTCGCAACACCAAGATTAAAATATATAAAACGTTGATAAGACCAGTCGTGTTATATGGTTCTGAAACTTGGAGCACAGCTAAAAGAGATGAAGCCTTATTACAGGTTTTCGAAAACAGAGTCTTATGACAAATCTTTGGACCCATCAAAGATGCAAACAGCGGTGAATGGAGAGTGAAAAGCTGCACTTACTGTACCGAGGGCCACGCCAAAGGACATGACTCCGTTTCCCTGTCTAGACTGATGGACATGGGAGTGTAGCCTAGAGCTGCAAGAAATGAACATTTCACTAAGGGGACGGGCGTCTTCAGTCGTTTTACACTTGTGGAGTCTTTGAAGAGGAGATAGAGCACGTATGGATCTCTGATCACTTATTTATAAAATATAACAACACAGATTCTTTATAAAACTTTGATCAGTATATGTTTTGGCACCTTTTCCATCTTTCCAAATAAAGTTTTATATTGTGCTATAGAGTTGAATGAGAGTCACAGACCATAGCAATGGTGATGATCTGCTAGCAAGAAAAATCTTCCACAATTAGAGCGTGGCATTTAAGGATCATTGCTCCCATTGCCTGCAGATTCTCAGCAAAGACTATTACTATTTCTGTTTTATTGGTAGGTCCTTTCTCCTAATGAAAATACTCTGGTCATCCTCACTGTCAGTGCTACACAGATTGAACCACTTGAAATGCTGCAAAATGAAGCCATGCACATTATTTTTGGATATACAAGAGACACTTCCTGTGTAGTAATGAGATATCTACTTGACTTTTCAACCATGAACAAAAGCATCAGGATGTGGAGGGCCCTGCATACCTTAAAAATGCGCTGATAAGAAACACCCACTGCATCAAGCCTTTTGCTGTGAAAAGGGTGACACACTCAAGAGGTGACATTTATGGCTAGGTCGGGCAGAAGATTTTATCAAGCAAATATGCAGTCTAACCTACATCACGCCTGGTGCAGAGTGGATACCTGTGACTCATGCGTTTATTTGTACATTTTCCTGTATTGCCACACTCGACAGGCGATGCAGGGAGCAGAATCTGTTGCTGTCAATACAGAGGTCAACGCTCTCATTAGTGAAGAAAAAAAAAAAAAGACACACCAGGCGCATCAGAGAACTTGTTAATATAGAACTGGTACTATAAGCCACCGGACGCTGGGGTTCATATTGTAAGGAGGAACTGAGCACCTATGGATATGTCCGAAGTGCAATGATGATAACCCAACTAATTCTCAGAGGTTCATTTCTCAACCTATCTGTGATCATTGTTTTGTGTTAGTCTCATTTCCTTCCCGCTCCACACAACATGGTCCATAGCATATTTGTTTCCACAGATCTGCTCATTACCTGAATACATACAGTACATAATATAATATAAGTTAATATAATTAGTTCACTACACTGAACATCATAGTGTTTTTGGCATGAAATATCTGCCGGTCTAAAGTTAGTGGGATCAACGTCATGGCACCTGGTTTATCTCATATAGTTCAGCTTCTGTCTGGCTAGCCATGTGCTGAGTGCATTACACAAACTCCATAGCTCCAACAACAGTCCCCAGGGATCTATGTCGAAATTGCACACATGAACCAATCAGCAGTCTGTGAAAGGAATTAAGCAAATTGTGTAATTACTTTTGGGAGCCGTATCAAATGGTAGTTAACCAGAAAATGGTGTTAATACAAGAAACTATCTTATTTGTTCCATTGTTTTCAATGTCAGATGTGTAGTTGCTTGTTAAAAGTTAACAGCTGTTTCTGTTTTTTAATTTATTTTTCATTGATGTTTGTTGATAATAGAATGCAAGCAGAATATGAACTACAGAGGAGGAAGGCAGCAGAGCGGGAAAAAGATGATATGGTATGTAATGTTTAAAGTATTGTGTGTTCATACATTTACACTTTACATTTTACGAGCAAGATTGGGGACCTGGAAACCCCTGGTGTACAGAGATGAGTGCCGTAATCAACCCAGAAAAGGCAACCGTCTTGTGGGGTTGTTTGGACAACAGGATTGTTAGAGCTGATGTTGAGAGCCCTAAAATAAATGGCAGGGACATCTAAAGAAAAACTAGACTACGGTACTTGGGAATCACCTTTGACAGAAGCTTGTGTTTCAAGGATCACACGAAGGAGGTTGTGAACGCAGCCTTAATGCACTAAAGATTTTGATTAATTATGGGCTGGGGTTACTATGTTGGTGATCCTGGAATGTACAAGAGACACCCTGATTGTGTGCATGTGATACATCTTAGCATTGCCAACTATTGCAGATAGACTAAAGGTGTTGCAGGCTAAGTCATACCTCAGAGTAACTGCAGGCAAAGAACACCCTCTGTATGAAGCTTTAGCTGCAGGTAAGGGTCAGAGGCTGAAAAGCGGAAAATCGTGAATGACTCATGTAGAAGACACAATAAGACTATGCATGGTGAAGAACATTAAGGGGTCACTACACGGCATTTTTCTCAATTTGTGACAAAAATATCACTTTTTCAATGTGTTCGTTTTTGTAAAGTTCGGCATTCGTACAATAGATGACACAAAAAATTTATGTCATTTGTAAACAATTTAGCATTGAAAAATTAATACTAATGACACCACCTCGTGCACTTTTTTAAGATAAAAAAAAGTTTAAAAGTCAGTTTTCTCAAATCTTTATATTTCAGTTTGCTGTGTGTGTGAAATCCTAAAATCTAAGCTAATATGAAGAGTAGAATCATGAAATTTTGTATGCATACTCCATAAACTATATTATAGGGACTGGTCTATCTAAAAGTAGATTTTAGAAAGTTTTTGTATCTAAAATTTGATTATTGTCTTATGATGCTAGATTTTTTTGACTTTTTCAATAAACCTACATTTTAAAATTCTACGAAAAATATTCAAAAACATGTTTAAAGTAAATAAACTAGACCGGTACCTTCAAATAGGACGAAAAGTCATGGATCTATCGCCTATTGTTGAATACCTATGTTTGCTTTTAAAATTTAAGGATTCTAATTACATATTGCTTTTTTTACAAGATGGTGGCTATTGCCATGACAACTATGATTTTTTAACACTTAAAGTATACAAATGTAATAACATGTATCCCTACAAATGACCATTATAAAATAACTGCTCTAAGTCTGTAAATAAAAAAATAAAAATAGCTGATTTACATAGTGAAAGATAATGGAAAATCTTTAGTGCAGGACAGCCTAGCCTAGGATACCACATCTAGCATGAGAATGGAGGTGGAGAGGTAATTGCAGCTTTCCAGTGGCTTAAGAACAAGATGCATACACGTGTCGTAATTGTAACAAACTCAGAAAGTATGCTGATAAAAGAGAAGACAGGGATGCTTTCAGCAGAGTAGCAAGCTTTACTGGGAAGGTCACGGGTAGTGAGCATACTTTAGATCTTTCTCCAGGAATGCCGGCATAGTGAGGAATGAACAGGCAGACAGATTGGCTGGATCTGCACCCCTGGGTGGTGAATTGATGCATGATAAGGCAGATGTGGTCAAGGCCCTTTAGGAACAAGCAACAGTCAGAAGAGAAGCAAGATTATTATGGCTCTGAGAGAATGAGGGACGTAGGTGCACCATTAATATCGAACTCTGCACTGGCTGCTGAAGATAAGGACAGAACGCTATATACTATATTATTATTCAGGCTACAAGTTTCAAGGTATCTCACTAAAACATATCAGGTTGTAGAAGGCTAGGGCACACATTTTGGATGATGGTGTCTGATTGATCAGTTAGGGCTGTATGCTGTGGGATCTCATTGATCCTGTTTTAGCTGTACGAGATGAGATGGAATCACATTGACCTATTGCACCGATTGTATGTGACAGGTTGAAACCTCATGAATCTACTTCTAGCTGAATGTGGTGGGATCAATTCTCACTCATCTTTGCTGTACTGACCTACGCCTTGATTGAGGAAGCAGTGTATTTATGCCTTATTTTCAAGACTTGGATGTGATAATTCTCTGCAGTTTTGTTTAGTTAATAAATAACAAGAAAAGAAGAAGGATGTATTAGCCCACTATCAGACCCGTTAACCTATGCACTTTTCTAGGTACCACGTAATTAAATGTGCAAAAAAAAATACCAAAGCTTCACAACTGTTTATATTAATATAAACTCATGATATTTTGTATTTTTGCAGAACAAAATCCCCTCTCTCCCCTCCTTCCCCCCCCCCTTCCCCCAAATTATAATTTCACATCATCATTGTTTGCTAAAGATTGGTAACATAACATGAGATCATGGTAGTCAGGGGGTTAATTTGATTTGAAATGTTTGTACAGGCCATTGCTGCTCGAGCTTAGATGTTAATCCTTTTTAAATTATTCTAAACAGGACCGTCAGATTGGGGTTATTAGAGAATTGCTCAATGACAAGAACAGCAAGAGCATTCTGCATGAACAAGACAGGGATCGCCTGGCAGCCATTGCTAACAACTACCGTCAGAATGGACATATGGACTTGAGTAACCCAAGGTGTGTCCATGTTTGTGTATAAGAGCATTAGTATAGCCACAGATATGTATTTCAACCTGTCTGTCATCCCTACATGTCTTCATTTCTACTGTAGAGATTGGTAACTTAATCAAGAACTCTGGTGTTATTGGGAGTATAATCCTGCTTTCCTTAGTTCTAAGATACACTTATATTAGGTCATACCGTTAGTGGGGTGGGTATTTTATTTATCAGTTTCACACTGATACCCAGCTGTAATTTTATAGCTTGATGTATTGTACAGAAGTTTTTTATATCTAAAAACAGACTCAAATGTCAGTCTAGTTGCCGAGTGACATCTTGTAAGGGATTTTTTTATCTTTAGTGACTGTTGTTGCATAATTTTTTTGGTGTAATGTGGACCAAATAGCTTCTGGTTTTACTATCTTTGGACACCACTGTTACTGATATATAATCACACAGTGTTTCACTTACTGCTGCAGGTTAAACACTATCATGGAACAGTCCGCTTCCTTCCTGTCTGATGTCAGCTATGACAAAACTGAGGAAGATCCGCTGGGTTACTCAAAGTTGAGAAGTGGTAGGAAGTTCAAGCGGCCTTCAGCACCCCCTGAAGATGAGCTGGACAATACCCCACCAAAACGTCAACGAGATGAAGAAGTGAGATTTAAAAAAAAAAATGTTTAGAATTGCTGCAGTTGATTTTTTTCGTCAGCTTTGTCATTTGATCCCCTTCAGTGCCTGGGAATAGTTTTGTATACTTTGATGAGTGCTTGATAAAGGTTCAAGATTTTTATTAGCATGTGTTCTTAATTTTCTTGTTATGTTATTAATGATAATCAGACCTAGCATATGTTCATTTGTTTGTATAAGATGTTTTGTATACAGATTTTGTAAAATGGGAAGACTTTATATTTTTATTATATCAACTGGCCTAGATCTACTTCAAATAAATTGTATTTTGAATAAAATAGACTGCCTTTGAACAGGATACAACCAATTCAGTAGTTACTTGTGTGCAAAGTTTGATTGTGAAGCATATACACCTGCAGACAAGCACCTTACATTTCTGAACCTATATTACAAAAGGAAAATGTCTTTTCTAGTCTCATGAAACAGCAGAAGTAAGGCAATGCTGTAGAAAAAATTACTAGTGCGGGCAAATTCCAGGCACTTTAAATACATAATGATAATTGTTTAAAGAAGTTTACATTGACTATAATTTTGGGCTTGGTAGTCCCCACATTTGTTGATGCCATCTGAAGCAGATTAATCACTGTAAATTAACTGATTGAACTTCTGCCTGCAGGGACACAATACTTCAGTAGTGACAGCCACTATCACCATTGACTCAACTGGCAAACCCTCGGCAACAGTGGAGACAAACATACCCAAACTCAACAAAAGTTTCAGTGAGCCATCACTTGACAAGAGAGGTCAGCACGGAGGTCAGTTGGTTGTTGTCCGCACCTCTTGCTCATTTGTTTGTCTTTGTAAAATATTTCTACTGGTTGCAAATGTCATGCTTACATTATTATTTACCTTTAAGTTACCATCTGTGTTTTAAAGTTATAATTTACATCTTAAATTTCTAGTAAACATGCAGTTTACATTTTGAGGTTATAATTTAATTATAATAATATTTTAGTGATAGGCTAGTATGCTTGATGTGAGGTATTTAGCACTGTACAGTTGTATAAAACATTGTTTATATATCGAATTTTGGCTATCTTTAAAACATTCATAGGTGACAGCGGAGCAGAGAGTGACGATGAGCTGTTTAACCGCAACAACAATTACAACACCAATGCTAGACCCAGAAAAAGTATTCTCAAAAACACACCAGAGTAAGTACATTGTATTTGTATTCTCAAAACTGAACTACAATTAAGTTCCCCTCTTTCTGAATAATTCCATTTATCCTATCGTGTAATTTATCAGTAAGAAGATGGTGGAGAGAAAATATACAGGTAGACTTACCAACACTTGGGAGTCCCCAAGTGGAAATAGAAGGTCAGTGATGGAGGTAGTTCATGTTGTTAACCTCAAGGACTCAGGAAGCCCTACATTTAGATCCCATGTAATTCAGTGCCAATAGCCTGCAGGAGATAATGGGAAATTATTATCCATACCTGGGAAAGATCTTTGATCAGTACTTTTTTTTTAATAAAAGGAAGGTACGAAAGGGAAAAGGTTTGCTGCTTGTTTTATATGAGGCACATTCGTAAGTTAAACTGTACTTATTTTTCATGTTATAAAACAATTGTTTGGGTTCAATTTGGCGCAGAGAAGTAATTAATACAGTCTTTTTTTTAGACTTCCTTGGTTGGTAATCCCTATTACTTCCCAGGTACCAGGCCTAAGGTTGGGTTCAAACCCCGTCAGGCAGTTAGTTGAAACAACAAAGTGTAATCATTTGGGGCACTATACATGTCATAGGAAACATCAGCAAACGGATATACTCTATAGATCCATACATCAGATCGCCTCTTGAGCATATATATATATATATATATATATATATATTATGTTAATGGGAATTATGGTGTGTCCTGAACCTTGGGTGACTGTTTACCAAGGGAATATAGAGAAGTGACAGAATATGTTAACCTGAAAGTACATAAGGGTCAAATCGCCATGGAATAAACAAGAAGAAATTATAAAAATTTTCACCGCAACAAGATTCTCAACACATCTTATTACATAGTGTTGTACTTATGTTAGGTAGTTGGATCATTTCTGTTTTGCTTGTAACTTGAAACGTTCTAAGACACTGTATTTTTGCCTGTTGGTTTTTATGTCTAAATTTTCTCAAATTTTAGGACTCCTACCCTCAGAAAGGCTAATTCTGCAGGTCGTGGATTAAACAGGGTACATATTTTCATGCCCAAAACTGTCATCAAGCCAGAGACTTGTGCACCAGTAAGTGCTTATTTTCTTTTTTTAGTTTGTCTTTTAAATAGTACTTGTTAAATGCCACCTCCTGGTTATTAGTTTTCTTTTTAGGTTTTCCCCTTTCTGTCTTTTGTGCTGATTGCTGACAATTTTTCCCCTGCTACATCTGCTTTTTTTCTTCAAATAACTATGATGTTGCCCTGCCATCTCTGTTACCAGTGTATGTGTGTTCTAATCGTGTAGTCTGCCATTCACTTAACTTTTCTTCTTTTACACCCCAAAAGCATTTCTTTAGATGCAGTTGAATTGTTCGTATGAGGTGAAGATAAGTTTCTGCACAGCTCTGGTCATTGATAAAGAACAATAGAATACCTTTGACATAGCTCTTCTTTTGACACACCTGCCAGCTATCTTAACAACCTGCAGTCCCAAAATAGTAGTGGTCTAGGCACTGCACGTTTTATCTGGAAAATCACATTTGAAAGTGCACACTGTTTATTCAGCAGACCACATTTCTGTAATTGATAGTGAGGTTAGTTGCCCTCAAAGTTGAGCTTGGCTGCTAGGATGGTGTCGGTAGCAGAAATGTCACAGGAAGTCAGGATAGCCAGCATGGTATTGACCACATCACCAGCTGAGTGCCGAAGGGCATCATGTGCCTGATATGCCACTGGCATAAATAGGGTCTCTTTTTCAATGGCCTCATGCATATTGAAGGGTTTTCCATTTTGTTGTAAGCGTTGTCACACTGAACTTTCTGCCAACAACAATATCTAGAGCAAGTGCGGTAAAAACTTGTTTGTGACATTTTCAGTACATACTCACTACAGTATGCTTACATGTGACTTTCATGACATAATGAAATGCTGAATGTTTACACACATATGTGTGTGTGTGTTGGCAACACATATAATTGAATGTATGAATGACGAGCAAAAATACTGTTTATATACTTACTCATACCTGCTTATTTGTTTTTCTGTTTTATGTTCCCTGACTTGTCAGTATTTTATCTTTGCTTTCAGTGTGGTAAAAGAATTCGCTTCAGTAAAATGGCCATGAAATGCAAAGGTGAGACTAGTTCTTATATTCAGCTGTGTTCAACTAGTTTTGAACTATACTTTCTGTATGTACTGTAAATCTGCTTGTAGTTCTTATTTAGTCAGCATCTGCTTCCCTGCAATTGTTCTTACAGTTTAATAGATAATTGGTAGCCAAGCTAGAGTGTGCTAAGATTTGTGAACATCTGTGTCTTAGGTGTTGCAAACGCGCTTCGTAATTCTAGGGTGCTGATTTTGATCCCAGCTGCTTGTGATTTGGCAGCAGAACATCTTGTGTTGGTTTCTGCCCGTTCAGAAAGCAATGCCAGACTGAATGTAAAAATTGGATAAAAAATCACAACAGCCAAAAAATGCTGGGGTTGGTTCTGCTATGTCCTGTAAAGGATACGCATATAACTTTCACAATGGGAATTGTTCTCTAGTTCTTGAAGTCTGAATTTCTCAGATGATTTCTTCTGGTTATGTTGGCAGTCTTTTCTGAACATCACATTGTGTTTATTTTAGCTGCACAGTAATTGATTGTCTTTAAAAATCAGAGATTCTAAGGTTCTTCTAAAACAATTACTGTCATTTTCCACTATGAATTCTATTTATCTGAAATAAACAAGTGTTATGTAGAATGTTTTGCTCGTACTGTCATTGACCAGTTGCCTGTGTGCTGATGTGAACCTCTTGTAACCATATGAAAAGCTGGAACTTAATGTTTTATCTAGAATGCCGTGCTGCCTGTCACCCAGAATGTAAAGATAAATTATCTCTACCCTGCATCCCTTCATGCCCTAGTGCGTCAGGAGGCAACAAGTTTTCAGAGGTAGGTCAGATGTGTGGTGAATTTTATAAAACATAATTGATTTACATTTTAACCCCTTTGTCTTTAGAAGCTGTGAACCTGACACTTGCATTTGGGTCCAATTATGAACTCTTGTCCCAATACTGGCCTGTCTGGGAAGAGACCTTTCAAGAGGCGTGGTTCAATGTGATTGGTTCTGTTTGCACCTGAACAGCGTTCAGTAGACCCAGATATATGAATACATTTACTAAGAGAATAACATCTACAGAGTTGGCCTTTTAAAAAGCTATGTTTTCCTCTTAGCTTCAGTGATATATGACAGGTCACAGCATCTGTCATCTGACACATTTTTTTGAATATATATATATATATATATATATAAGTTGAAAAATAGGGCAGGGGATATAAATTCATTTCAAATACATGTCCTTTACCTGTGCAAATTTTTTTTTAAAGGATTATTGTCTGAATTCACACACAGTCATGACCCATTTGTTTAGCACTCCTAGGATTACTGAGATTAAGTAGCACCTAGTATTGCAAGGGTGTATTAAAAGAGTGGTACACTGTAAGCCTCAAGTAAATTGACTCACTGTTGTTTATCACATCTAACATTATATTTATCTGCCATCATCATCATAGTCAGACACTCGTTGTTGTGTATCCGTTCTCTGACTTTGATGAGTTTATCATCACTAACTGGATGTCTCCGCCCAGCTTCATTTTCAGTTTTTTCCTTCAGCAGTTTGGAATTATGAATACCACCGCCTCATGTACGAGATAAACATTCACCCTCATAAACTTATCTCAGCATTCAGCTGTCTTCGGAGCACTTTTGCGGGTTTGAAACAGAACTAATGTTAACCCTTGGCTCCTTGCTGCATAAGTAACGACACAACTGTAACTAGCTAAACAGAATGCGGGTTACTTGTCATCTATTGCCATATCATATGTGAATGGTGCCTTTTTGGATGACATGCTTTGCTTCATAGAAGACATTTTTGTTTTAGCCATAATAAAATGTCTCATTCTTTAATTGTCAAACTGTAGATGCAGTCATTGTCCTTGTTACTCAGGATTTGTGTTTAGGTATGTCATGTAAGCTACAACAAATCAAGGAATGTTTGTCTTTAGAGTATAATTGATCCATTCTAAATGGATAATTTTTTATTTTCAGGGTCTGATATCAGATTTTGTTCCCTGTGAGCGCCCAATGATCCCACGGCTTGTTGTAAGTTTATGCTGTCTTTCAATGCTTTATGATTGCTATTTGTATTCCTTTTATGCTCTTTTTGTGTTTAAAGCTTGCGCCCCCCCCCTCTAAAACATGTAAACACAATTTTTTTCTAGTACTGTTTTCTGAAACACTAATATTTGATGTTTGACATGAAACAAAAACCTCTCATGTGGTATGCTAAACATTTAATGTCACTTTCAGTCAAGTCATTGGGGGGGGGGGGGGGGGGGGAGACATGTCACAGAGCTAACCAGCAACATTACTTCATACTCAAACAGCAGATTTGTTTTGTTGTTGAAATTCCACAATACTATACAATTATAATAATAATGTTTTTGTTTTTAAAATCCAAGTTTGCAATTCACTAAAAATGCAGTATGTAGTGTATTGTCTCATTTATGTGTTATGTAGCAAATATGTTTGTTTCCTAATTCTTGAGTGTTTCCTCTGGGTCATTTTGTTGGCTGTGGCAAAACACTTTTTTTTCAACTGCTAAAAAAAAATCAGCTTATTATATGAAGTCATTATGTGACAACTAGGCTTTATAAAAACTGTATTCTCATTACACATCTCAACAGGTAAATTGTGCCAATGAAATTGAAAACCGTGGCCTGCAGGAGGTTGGAATCTATCGAGTACCAGGGTCAGTATTTTCATTTGTTGCTCTGTGTGGTTTATCTGACACAGTTCTAGCACATTACATATTGTTGCTCTTTGTGGTTTATCTGACACAGTTCTAGCACATTACATATTGTTGCTCTCTGTGGTTTATCTGACACAGTTCTAGCACATTACATATTGTTGCTCTGTGTGGTTTATCTGACACAGTTCTAGCACATTACATATTGTTAGATTTGACCATCAAAGAGAACTGGTAAGACGTACAATGTTCTACAAAGGGTCTACTTTTGCCTGGACAACTACAGCGGTGATTGTTTTAGCCAAGAGCAAAGTGAAAGTAAAGAATCCTTTTCACACCAGTTGGTACATTGGACATATGATACTAGACATTTTATAGACAAATGGGCACTTGCTGAGTGATAGGGTCAGCATCAGGCCGGCCATGTTCATCTCTCAGGACCTTTCCTGCTGCATATTTTAGCTTAGGCCAACATGCAAGCCAGTTAAATTAAGATTTAAAAATCTGAATCACACAGAAGACCTTCAGGCCAGGAGATGGGCTTCTAGCTGCTACACTACCGTGGCTCCTAGTCGGTAACACATATAGCATGTACTTTGTTCACTTTCTTAGTCAGCGGCAGAGCTGGAGCTAACTGCATCATCTTTGTTACACCATCATCAGTGCCGGACTGACACTTGTGTTGACACTTCTGATGGCTGCCTTATGAATTTAATGATTGCCCTGAGACTGCAGCCGTTGTCAGTCTTTGTTCACAAGGGACAGTGATGTACATACTGTGGGGTTTTTGTTAGCACGGGGGCGGAGCAACTATCGGATGATCCGTTTGCTAAGAAGTTGAAACTGCGATTACCTGATTACTAGCTAAATCATTACTCATTTTGTTTCATTGTGACATTTATTTTATAAAAGGTAGAAGATTCTAAGTTATGGTCTCCACATTGATACATCTCAGTAATACTTGTAGCACTGAATTGCTGATGTATATACCTAGAACCTGTGGTGAATCCCATACATGTTGGCTGCAGTCAATCATGACCTGGTTTTTTAAACCGTGGAGAGGGGCAGAAGAGTAACCTAACCTATCTATCATTTTTTTCAGAACTTTCAAATGACAGAGTATCATACTTGTTAAATAGCTTGTCTTTCATTGAATTCATCAAGCAGTCAAAAACGATATGTTAAATGGTTAACATTTGGAATAGGTAACTGAGATAGCTTTACTTGCCTCTCGGCCTAAGGGTATGAATGTGATTCAAATCTACATTAAAATAAAAAAATAAAAAACATAACAATTGACCTTGGCTTCCAAGCCTAAATTTAGTACCAGGCTATATCTGAAAAAATAAATAAAAGACAATATAAATCTTCCATAGATCTGACAAAGAAATCAAAGAGCTGAAAGAGAAGTTCCTTAAAGGCAGATACCCGCACCTGGTAAGTGGATTTGAGATTCATCGATTGTTATGTTTAGTTTATATTTATTTTATGGCTGAACCTCATTGTTACATAATGGTAACAACCTGCACTGACACTGTAAACCTGTAACTTTTTTTAATTTCTAAAGTGTGATGACTACAAGCTCATTTGATTGTTAACTATTTGTATTCTTGCAGTCATCTATCCATGATATTCATGTGGTCTGTGGGTGTTTGAAGGATTTTCTGCGTAGCTTGAAGGAACCACTGATCACCTATGCTCTATGGTCCCGGTTTGTGGAAGCTGCAGGTAAACTACTGTTTGTTGTTGAGTTTTACCTATTTGTTTATGACACCATTCTTGATCTAATTAGGGTGTGATGATTTTGATCACATGCATAAGAGAAAATTATACCGCACCTCAGTCACCAGGAAGCTCTGTGTGAGTAGTGCATCACATGCAAGACTTGCTGTACATCTTTGTCATAGAGCACTAGTAAATGGTTTTTAATAGATCTTAACCAAACTGGCAAAGGATCTGAAAATCTGCTGACCCCTAGAAATGTAGTGGCCAGACACCGCAAAGATGAAAATCTCTGGCACTGATCAGACAACCTAATGAGGTAAAGATGTCTGTAGAGTGGTTCAGTAAATTGACTGGGTTCTAAAACTCAGTTATGAATACTACCTTAGATGTCAGTGATGCCTATATTCTGTCCTTCATTTAGACAAACCAACATACACCCAGCTCTTCTGGTCAGGCATGCTAGTGGTACACCACATGTACATAAGGGGCCAAAGGTAAATGTCATATCAACTACTCAACCAGAGAAACATGCTGTATGGAAACATTACAGATTGAGAAATGCAGATCCCACAATCTCTAAAGCTGAACATTAGACTGCCTGGCACATAACGTGAAGTTATCTGTTATTAATGTAATTGTTAACTTGTTAATATAAAATTTTACTATTAGTCTACAATCATTATATTGCAGTCCATTGGCTAATTAATTTATTGTAGGTAAGCTAATTTTTGTCAATTTATTGTAATTATTTCTTTCTTCTTATTGAGTTTATAAGCAAAGGCTGAAGTCCTGAGGGTAACATGGAGGCTGGAAAACATTAAAACAGCACAGATATGCTATATATTTGTCTATTTTTCATTCGTCAATGTTACATTCTATGTTTTCTTTTCTTGTTTTGTGTTTCAATACACTGTGTGAGTTTTTAAATTGTTCACACACAGTAACTTAGCAATTTGACATTGAAGCTGACTTCTGGTTTTTCAGAAATGACGTCACGTGAAAGAAGCCAAGAGGAACTGTGTCACTTAGTTAATAGCCTTCCACAAGCAAACAAAGATACGCTGGCCTTCCTAGTACAGCATCTTCAGACGTACGTCTGCTTTCAAGCATTTTACTTTCAAACATTGATTTAGAAACCTGGGTATCCCATATCTGGTGCTATGTATTATTGTAGACAGGTGTGGATAGTAACAATCAGGTGTGCCTTTTAAAATGTAATATTCAAATACTGTCATACCGGTGCCAGTTGCTTAGAAAGTGACTCATATAAGACATTTGCTAGGATAAATGGCCACTTCGATTCCTTGTTTTTGCTTCCACAAACAAGATAACTCATATACCTGTTTACAAAATATGTTCTTTTAGCTAGTTAGAAATTAACCACTGCTCCATTTTGAATGGGCAACTATCACAGAGGTGATTGCCTCTGGTGGGCGGACTGTCCACACTATTATTTATGCAGATACATGCGCAGACTGCTAGTAGACAGGTCTCTCTCTTTCAATCACCAACAAACTGCTACCGTATAAAATAAAAAAAAATAAGCTCAGTTAAACAGTGTGACACAGAAAAGGAAAACAAACAAGCAATTGATTCACTAAGCTCTTTTCAAACTGGTCATTTCTTAGTTACCTTGTCTGCTTACATACAGAATCCTGCACAGCTCTCATTACTCTGTATTATTGATATCCTATCCTTGTCTCTACTTCCCTGTCATGGTATTTGGTTGACCACATCCTACTCCCTACTTTCCTGTCATGGTATTTGGTTGACCACATCCTACTCTCTAGTTCTCTGTCATGGTATTTGGTTGACCACATCCTACTCTCTAGTTCTCTGTCATGGTATTTGGTTGACCACGTTTTACAGTCATATGACACATTTTGGCCAGCTCTGAACCCTCAACGACCTTCAGATCTGCGTCTTCGAAATGCCATCCCTTAATTGGTTTATGCGCCACTGGCTGTCTTATCCCAAAGAAAACTTTAGCTGACAATCACTTCAGTCGTGCATAAGCCTGCAGAGGACTTGATGTCAGTTGGTTAAATGTTCAAGCTTCATTATGAGTTGAAAGGCAGAGGAAAACATTCAGATAGCATTGGGCTCTGCTACCCTTGCATACATGAAGTGGTGAAAATTGGAGATGATATTTGTGCATGTATCCTAATGTCTGCCAACATTCTGGTAACCACTATTTCTGGTTGATGAAAGTACGTGTAGTGTAGAAATGTTGATTGTGCTGAACATCATTGGTAATTATTTTCCTGGCAGGGTCGCAACATCACCATCCTGCAAGATGCCGACTGCTAACCTGGCTAGGGTATTCGGACCAACTGTAATTGGGTACTCAAGTCCTGAACCACAGCTCCAAATGATGATGACTGAAACACGGAAGCAAAACCAGGTAAAGACATTTGTCATGAAACCATGTGTAAGAAACATTCAGATCTGTTGCTGAGACAGATTTGTTTCAAAATTTACCTTGGTTTTCGATTGACCCAGCCTAAAATTTGTGGTAGTTTTCATTTTTGGGAAGTTGATCACATGATGCATTGAATGCTGATGGTATATAAAACGATGAGTCTAACGTCACAATGCCTGATGCACCACTGGTGTAACACACACACCCCCCCCCCCCCAAGTTCATGTGCAGAAAACTACATCCAGGTTTACACAATTTGCAGCATAGTTGCTAGAGTTTCTGAACATTTTGTTGATTGTATGTGTATTTAAAAAAAAACGTAAACAGTAATGGGTTTATCAATATGACAGTCAGCAAATATACCCCTCCTTAATTAAGGGGAGTCATAAATTAGAAACCACAGAAGGTTATATGCATGTACATACACACACATAAGAGTAATATAGGGAATTGTAAAAATTAGTTCACACTGGTCCGCAGAAATAACACATCTGTACAATGACCAGAGGATGATGTTTTTTTTTTTTTATTGGAATCCAGTGTAAAACTGCCTGCAGCTCCTGGACTAGTTATCTAATCAACTTCTTGTTCTTCTGAACTCAACAGGTTATGGAACGCTTGTTGGAGATACCAAACCAATTCTGGAGTGAGATACTCAATGTTGATGACATAAGTCTCTTCCCGGCAGGAACTCCATATACGCCAGAGGATTTGCATTATGGTATGTTCTTGGGAGTATTTCTGCTTTCAATTTCAATACATGTACTATATACATCAGATGATTTGCATTATATGGTATGTTCTTGGGAGTATTTCTACTTTTAATTTCAGTACATGTACTATATACATCAGATGATTTGCATTATGGTATGTTCTTGGGAGTATTTCTGCTTTCAATTTCAGTACATGTACTATATACATCAGATGCTTTGCATTATGGTATGTTCTTCAGAGTATTTCTACTTTTAATTTCAGTACATGTACTATATACACCAGAGGATTTGTATTATGGTATGTTCTTGGGAGTATTTCTACTTTTAATTTCAGTACATGTACTATATACATCAGATGATTTGCATTATGGTATGTTCTTGGGAGTATTTCTGCTTTCAATTTCAGTACATGTACTATATACACCAGAGGATTTGCATTATGGTATGTTCTTGGGAGTATTTCTACTTTTAATTTCAGTACATGTACTATATACATCAGATAATTTGCATTATGGTATGTTCTTGGGAGTATTTCTGCTTTCAATTTCAGTACATGTACTATATACACCAGAGGATTTGCATTATGGTATGTTCTTGGGAGTATTTCTACTTTTAATTTCAGTACATGTACTATATACATCAGATGATTTGCATTATGGTATGTTCTTGGGAGTATTTCTGCTTTCAATTTCAGTACATGTACTATATACACCAGAGGATTTGCATTATGGTATGTTCTTGGGAGTATTTCTACTTTTAATTTCAGTACATGTACTGTATACATCAGATGATTTGCATTATGGTATGTTCTTGGGAGTATTTCTGCTTTCAATTTCAGTACATTTACTATTTACACCAGAGGATTTGCATTATGGTATGTTCTTGGGAGTATTTCTACTTTTAATTTCAGTACATGTACTATATACATCAGATGATTTGCATTATGGTATGTTCTTGGGAGTATTTCTGCTTTCAATTTCAGTACATGTACTATATACACCAGAGGATTTGCATTATGGTATGTTCTTGGGAGTATTTCTGCTTTCAATTTTAGTACATGTACTATATACACCAGAGGATTTGCATTATGGTATGTTCTTGGGAGTATTTCTGCTTTCAATTTCAGTACATGTACTATATACACCAGATGCTTTGCATTATGGTATGTTCTTCGGAGTATTTCTGCTTTCAATTTCAGTACATGTACTATATACATCAGATGCTTTGCATTATGGTATGTTCTTGGGAGTATTTCTGCTTTCAATTTCAGTACATATACTATATACATCAGAGGATTTGCATTATGGTATGTTCTTGGGAGTATTTCTACTTTTAATTTCAGTACATGTACTATATACATCAGAGGATTTGCATTATGGTATGTTCTTGGGAGTATTTCTACTTTCAATTTCAGTACATGCATACTGTGAGTGCAGCAGGACTCATGTATGATGTATGGTGTGTGTGTGGAACAAGAATGGACAAGTGTGTGGATGCAGATGTAGAAAGTGATATATCTGAGTGTAGACAAATGTGTGTGTGTGGTGTGGAACAAGAATGGACAAGTGTGTGGATGCAGATGTAGAAAGTGATATATCTGAGTGTAGACAAGTGTGTGGATGCAGATGTAGAAAGTGATATACCTGAGTGTAGACAAATGAGAGATGATGGGTGTTGAGATTACTGCAGAAACAAGTAGACAGTTTATTTTAAAATTGCCAATATTTTGTATCGCTAAAACTTTTTTTTTTATACAAACTTTTGAGATCCATGTCTCAAGTAAATCTTTGGACCCAAACTGGAGAATAGAAAAATTCATAATCTGTTGAAGTCTCAAATTACTAGCATCTTGAGTGTTAATAATAATTGGGGCATATAGAGAGAATAGCAGATAAAAAAGAAACATCTGCATACACAAAATTGTTGAATGGGAGTAGATCACAATGCAGACAAAGAATATGAAAAGATAATATATGCATGCAGACAGTCTGACCACAAACACTTGGAGCCATCAACTGCAAAGAGAAGACCAGTCAGAGAGATCAGTGTAGGTGGGTGATATCTGCAATAGTTTACTTAGAAGTGTAATAGTCTTACTTGTAACAAAGACATTGACAAGTTGTATCATGCAGTGATAGTGGTGGGTTCATCGCTATCTTTGATGGGTCACCATCCTTTTGACATGTCTTTCTTATTAATACAATATCTGTTCATTTATTTTGTGCACGCCAGCTCCTCGCAGTATGTTGGGTCCCATCAGCACACCAGATATGCCAGACATGTACGCACATGACATCACCCGGAGCCAGGCAACACCCAAGTAAGTTACCCTACATGGTGTCCCAGTTAGGTAGAGGCACACAGTTTTGTGGAAACTGGGGTAGGTGGACGCTTGCTGGTTAGTTCCAGTCTGCATCACACAGATGTTTATGAATGACTTAGTCTCCCAGGTCGACCCAGCCTAAAATGAGTACTAAGTTCAGCCCTGGGAGTCAAGGGGACCAGCAGAATATTGACCACAACACAGATCTATTGTATTGGTCTAGTGCCCATGGGATGACCTTTTCTGAATGTGTCATAAGGTGATGACCAGACACAGTCAACAGCTTGGAGTGGAGATTAGTTTGCTTGTAAATGTCATTCTAAACAGGTACAGACATGTCATTTAAATAAGGCTTCAGTGTTTTTGGCAGGTTTGTTTGTTGTTTGTTGGCAATTTGAAGATGAATGCTTGGCTGCAGGCTGAAAGAAGTTTGTGGTTTTTCTCAAGACGAGAACTTAATGGATTGACTGTCCTCCTGCATAGACTGAAGCAAGAATTGAGTACTAGTAGATCTGGAAATATATCAGAGAACTAGGAATCCTGCATACAAACTCAAACTAAAAAAAATGCACACAAACTGGTTTCATACAACTTTCAGACAAGTGTTGGGATATATTTATTTAGTCAAGCAGTCATTTGGCATAAAGATCATAGAAAGTTTTGATGAAAATTTTTACACCAGATAGTCACAGTAGAATTATGAAAGTCATAAAGTAAACATTTTTGGGGGCGTGTGTGTGATGTTGAAAACAGGTTCTCCCTGTGGGTTCCGGGGTCTCATTATGAGGACAACAAGAACAGACCCACTGCTAATTACAAGCTTCCTTTGAAGTACATCTGCATAAGCGGCAAGGGACAACCGACCACACACAAATAAACCAGCAGAATGGATTTACATGCAGAAAAAAACTTGGGCCCTGCAACAAAGCCAAAGTCAAATGAATAAACACCAGGACTTTTCACCTAAGCTTACAGCTGTCGAACAAAGAAGAAGAAAACAGGTTCAAAAAAATGAACAGCAAGTCATTTGGAAGGGGCTGTGTGAATAAACAATCTCAGTGTCAATCATACATACATGCTTTTCAAATAGGCTAAAGACACTGAGTCATCTATAGGAAATAGGCTAAATACACTGAGTCATCTATAGGAAATAGGCTAAATACACTGAGTCATCTATAGGAAATAGGCTAAATACACTGAGTCATCTATAGGAAATAGGCTAAATACACTGAGTCATCTATAGGAAATAGGCTAAATACACTGAGTCATCTATAGGAAATAGGCTAAATACACTGAGTCATCTATAGGAAATAGGCTAAATACACTGAGTCATCTATAGGAAATAGGCTAAATACACTGAGTCATCTATAGGAAATAGGCTAAATACACTGAGTCATCTATAGGAAATAGGCTAAATACACTTAGTCATCTATAGGAAATAGGGCTAAATACACTGAGTCATCTATAGGAAATAGGCTAAATACACTGAGTCATCTATAGGAAATAGGCTAAATACACTGAGTCATCTATAGGAAATAGGCTAAATACACTGAGTCATCTATAGGAAATAGGCTAAATACACTGAGTCATCTATAGGAAATAGGCTAAATACACTGAGTCATCTATAGGAAATAGGCTAAATACACTGAGTCATCTATAGGAAATAGGCTAAATACACTGAGTCATCTATAGGAAATAGGCTAAATACACTGAGTCATCTATAGGAAATAGGCTAAATACACTGAGTCATCTATAGGAAATAGGCTAAATACACTGAGTCATCTATAGGAAATAGGCTAAATACACTGAGTCATCTATAGGAAATAGGCTAAATACACTGAGTCATCTATAGGAAATAGGCTAAATACACTGAGTCATCTATAGGAAATAGGCTAAATACACTGAGTCATCTATAGGAAATAGGCTAAATACACTGAGTCATCTATAGGAAATAGGCTAAATACACTGAGTCATCTATAGGAAATAGGCTAAATACACTGAGTCATCTATAGGAAATAGGCTAAATACACTGAGTCATCTATAGGAAATAGGCTAAATACACTGAGTCATCTATAGGAAATAGGCTAAATACACTGAGTCATCTATAGGAAATAGGCTAAATACACTGAGTCATCTATAGGAAATAGGCTAAATACACTGAGTCATCTATAGGAAATAGGCTAAATACACTGAGTCATCTATAGGAAATAGGCTAAATACACTGAGTCATCTATAGGAAATAGGCTAAATACACTGAGTCATCTATAGGAAATAGGCTAAATACACTGAGTCATCTATAGGAAATAGGCTAAATACACTGAGTCATCTATAGGAAATAGGCTAAATACACTGAGTCATCTATAGGAAATAGGCTAAATACACTGAGTCATCTATAGGAAATAGGCTAAATACACTGAGTCATCTATAGGAAATAGGCTAAATACACTGAGTCATCTATAGGAAATAGGCTAAATACACTGAGTCATCTATAGGAAATAGGCTAAATACACTGAGTCATCTATAGGAAATAGGCTAAATACACTGAGTCATCTATAGGAAATAGGCTAAATACACTGAGTCATCTATAGGAAATAGGCTAAATACACTGAGTCATCTATAGGAAATAGGCTAAATACACTGAGTCATCTATAGGAAATAGGCTAAATACACTGAGTCATCTATAGGAAATAGGCTAAATACACTGAGTCATCTATAGGAAATAGGCTAAATACACTGAGTCATCTATAGGAAATAGGCTAAATACACTGAGTCATCTATAGGAAATAGGCTAAATACACTGAGTCATCTATAGGAAATAGGCTAAATACACTGAGTCATCTATAGGAAATAGGCTAAATACACTGAGTCATCTATAGGAAATAGGCTAAATACACTGAGTCATCTATAGGAAATAGGCTAAATACACTGAGTCATCTATAGGAAATAGGCTAAATACACTGAGTCATCTATAGGAAATCCAGATTAGATACAAACACATGAGGCCATTGCTGGGATTCACTGCAAGAACAGATCACATATCATGTAGTGGTGGCAACTGCAAGAGCTGTAGTGAAGCTGTGATAATATCTGCAGTGAGACAGGCCCACAGGAAGAGGGCACATGACTTTGAAGCATAGATTTAGTGGCGAGTTAACAAACTGTTGAAGGAAATTCCCCCCACCCCCACCCCATTTTTGAGCTGCCTTGTAAAAGACTAGAGTGAGATTGTGCACAATATATAGAAAATTGTGTAAAAACCAAACACATGGCCCATATGATGGTCATGTCTGTTTTGTGTTAAACTAAATGTTGCTCTGAAGGTATTTTAATGTTTCCAGCTGTAATTGCTGCATTGTGCTTGTGTGTGTGTGTGTGTGTATAGATAGCAACACTACTCAAACAAATCTGAGAACACTTAACCTACCTAGCACCATCTAACCTTGTAACCTGGGTAATGTATATCTATAGAAATGTATATTAACTCATACCACTGTATGTATATATATATAAATATATATATATATATCTCTCTCTCTCTTATATACATCATATATACATCTTACTTGGTTGATCCTCCTCTGTCTTGGGGTTTAGAGGTTTGCCAGAGAGATTGCCGGACTTCTCTCAGCCGTTTTCGTTTTGGCAATGCTACATTCCAGTCTTCTTTCAGTCAAGGACTATTGGATGCTGTCTTCCAAGTGAACACTGGGTCAGCCTGGTTCTTGGCCCTTATGCCAGACATGGTAGCCGATTCTCTCCCATTCTGCATACCAAACCATAGTAACTGACTGATCCACTCAGGTTTGTAAGGCCCAAGATCCTGATGTATTGTCTGGTTGCGAACTTTGTCCATTCTTGTCACTTGCAACACCTTTCTCAGATATCTAATTTCTGAGACCTAAAGCCGGCTTCCGTGAGCTGTTGTCATTGTCCGTGACACACACCTGTAGGTCAGGATTCGCACATTGGAACAGTCATTTTAGTCCTCTTGCCAATTTCTCTTTTGCTGCGAAAGAAACCCTAGGTACAATGACCAGGAAAAGTCTCCAGGCTGCTGCTTTTCGAGTAGCCAGCTGTTCTAATACCTCCATTCTGTCTTATACAACTTAATGGTATTTGATATAGTTGACCTGCTACAGTGCATACTGTCTCATCATGATCTGATATTTCTTCTCCTCGCTTGAGGTCACTATGGTTTTTGATTACTAATGGTCATTCTCTCTTCTCTTACTCTTCATTGCTGATAAGTAAGCTGGATTTAAGATGGCATCAGGACCACATCGTCTGCAAATGCCAGCTCTGATCGATGTCGTCAGATTAAATGTCTTTAATAAGTCATTTATGAATAGTTATGATTGATGACCTTGAGATCATCCCTTCTGGATCCATTTGTATCCCATCTGGCTTGGTTTGTATCCCATCTGGCTTGGTTTGTATCCCATCTGGCTTGGCTTGTATCCCATCTCGCTTGGTTTGTATCCCATCTGGCTTGGCTTGTATCCCATCTGGCTTGGCTTGTATCCCATCTGGCTTGGTTTGTATCCCATCTGGCTTGGTTTGTATCCCATCTGGCTTGGTTTGTATCCCATCTGGCTTGGCTTGTATCCCATCTGGCTTGGCTTGTATCCCATCTGGCTTGGCTTGTATCCCATCTGGCTTGGTTTGTATCCCATCTGGCTTGGTTTGTATCCCATCTGGCTTGGCTTGTATCCCATCTGGCTTGGCTTGTATCCCATCTGGCTTGGTTTGTATCCCATCTGGCTTGGCTTGTATCCCATCTGGCTTGGCTTGTATCCCATCTGGCTTGGCTTGTATCCCATCTGGCTTGGTTTCTATCCCATCTGGCTTGGCTTGTATCCCATCTGGCTAAGCTTGAATCCCATCTGGCTTGGTTTTTATCCCATCTGGCTTGGTTTGTATCCCATCTGGCTTGGTTTGTATCCCATCTGGCTTGGTTTGTATCCCATCTGGCTTGGTTTGTATCCCATCTGGCTTGGCTTGTATCCCATCTGGCTTGGCTTGTATCCCATCTGGCTAAGCTTGAATCCCATCTGGCTTGGCTTGTACCCCATCTGGCTTGGTTTCTATCCCATCTGGCTTGGCTTGTACCCCATCTGGCTAAGCTTGAGTCCCATCTGGCTTGCTTTGTGTCCCTTCTGGCATGGCTGTTGTCCCATATGGCTTCATCTGTCCCACCTGGCTTGGGTTTGTCTCCATAGAGTAGTTGGTTGCCTACTGAGAACAAACTTCAGCATCAACACCAAAAATGTATTTTAAAAAATTAACTTACGGATGGTCCATAAACTGCACTCATTATCTTTATAATTGGAGACAAGTAATTTCACTACCTTGTCATGGATTCCTCCAGTTGTATACTAGTTCTGTCTATCACCAACAGTTATAGTTCATATATTCACTCGTCTTGAGTGTGTCACCTCTGATGCTTTGAGCACACATACTGAAGGTAACTTCAATTGTTCAAATCTTTAAGACTGCCCTAAAATGGCTTCATGTTGTCAGAAAGTGGCACACAGCGCTGTCGTAGCACTTGTAGCGTCACCATATGATATATCTCCAATTGTTGTTGCAGCTATCTCTTGGTTACAACCGTGTCTACTAAAGCCTCTACCACAAACCCTTCTGCTAGTTACAAACGTGTCTACCATAGCCTCTACCACAAATCCTTCTGTTGGTTACAAACGTGTCAACTAAGCCTCTACCACAAACCCTTCTGTTGGTTACAAACATGTCTACTACAGCCTCTACCACAAACCCTTCTGCTAGTTACAAACGTGTCTACTACAGCCTCTACCACAAACCCTTCTGTTGGTTACAAACATGTCTACTACAGCCTTCACCACAAACCCTTCTGTTGGTTACAAACGTGTCTACTACAGCCTCTACCACAAACCCTTCTGTTGGTTACAAACATGTCTACTACAGCCTCTACCACAAACCCTTCTGTTGGTTACAACCGTGTCTACTACAGCCTCTACCACAAACCCTTCTGCTAGTTACAAACGTATCTACTAAAGCCTCTACCACAAACCCTTCTGCTAGTTACAAACGTATCTACTAAAGCCTCTACCACAAACCCTTCTGCTAGTTACAAACATATCTACTAAAGCCTTCACCACAAACCCTTCTGCTAGTTACAAATGTGTCTACTACAGCCTCTACCACAAACCCTTCTGCTACTCCCAGACTGGATGACCCATAACATCAATTGCAGCTGCTTGTTGCCATCTTTTTTTCTTTTCCATGCAATATATTTTTCATTTATTGACAGTTCTGTCTCCTTTGCTCATTCTGTTTTCCCTGGAGACCAACCATAGACATCAGCATGGCTTTAACAATAAAACCCTCTCAGCTCTAGTAGATTTGTTGTCCTTGTCAGTCACTAGTCGCAGAATTATCCAGAATGCACCTTGTAGAGCATTGACTGAGAGTCACTTGAGTGATGACTTCCTTATTGAACAGTCACACAGAACCATCTCCAAGCCTGGATCAAAACATATCAGGCCCTGACTGAGAGCAGCTCATCCATGAATCTCATTGTCTTTATGGTTGAATCTCTAGTGCCACATGCACTATTCACATTCCTTTATTTTTCTGTGACACTGTAGCCAAAAGCATGGGTGCTGTCCCACTCAGTTCCATTTGTCTAGTCATTGCTTTGTGATCAATGACATCAGTGAAGGCATGTGTACCACTAACAACTAGCATCATCTCTTCACCAGATCTTGTGTGCATCCATCTGGTTAATCGCATGCTAACTACTAACAGTTGTGTACTCAACCATTTTAGTATATCCATGAAATTCCATCATCATCATTTAACACTGATAACTGACGGAATGGTGGAAGATTCTCTAATTCTTAAGGAGGAATGGGTTCAAAAAGTCTTGCATTTCTGCAGCATGACAGAAAGTAACCTCTGTTGCTAGTTTAACGGGCACTTGGTTGCTGCTGGCACATTAACTCACTTGGTTGTTGCTGGCACGTTAACTCACTTGGTTGTTGCTGGCACGTTAACTCACTTGGTTGTTGCTGGCACGTTAACTCACTTGGTTGTTGCTGGCACATTAACTCACTTGGTTGTTGCTGGCACATTAACTCACTTGGTTGTTCAGTCTTGATTTGCTTGTTAGTACCTACGCTTGGTGTTGCTTGCTGACTACTGACCACACACCCTGTATCATGTGTCATTCACTGACCTACACTACAATTGTTGGAAAGGATTAAAAAACACCTGGATTGACTTCTTGTCATTAGAATCCGACTGATGCCACCTCTGTACCCAGAGTTACCTGCCAGTGCCATCTGAGCTGAACCTGAAAGTGACAGTGTACGCAATTACAGGTACAGAATCATGCTGGGGGATGTACTAACGTTTCACTTATCACATGCTGGACATGTTCTAGCTTGTCACCATCACTTCTGCTCTCATGTATGGCTAGTTCATCCACCAGGTTGCTAACATGGGGTAATTCATTCAATACTATACTGGAGATGTATGGATATTTCACTCATCACTTTCACTGCTCATCTGCTGGCACTATACTATATGGACATTTCACTCGTCCCTTCCACTGCTCATCTATTGGCAGTTCATCCATCACTATACTGGAGGTTTATGGACATTTCATGCATCAGTTCCACTGCTCATCTATTGGCAGTTCATCCATCACTATACTGGAGGTTTATGGACATTTCATGCATCAGTTCCACTGCTCATCTATTGGCAGTTCATCCATCACTATACTGGAGGTTTATGGACATTTCATGCATCAGTTCCACTGCTCATCTATTGGCAGTTCATCCATCACTATACTGGAGGTTTATGGACATTTCATGCATCAGTTCCACTGCTCATCTATTGGCAGTTCATCCATCACTATACTGGAGGTTTATGGACATTTCATGCATCAGTTCCACTGCTCATCTATTGGCAGTTCATCCATCACTATACTGGAGGTTTATGGACATTTCATGCATCAGTTCCACTGCTCATCTATTGGCAGTTCATCCATCACTATACTGGAGGTTTATGGACATTTCATGCATCAGTTCCACTGCTCATCTATTGGCAGTTCATGCATCACTATACTGGAGGTTTTTGGACATTTCATGCATCAGTTCCACTGCTCATCTATTGGCAGTTCATGCATCACTATACTGGAGGTTTTTGGACATTTCATGCATCAGTTTCACTGCTCATCTATTGGCAGTTCATCCATCACTATACTGGAGGTTTATGGACATTTCATGCATCAGTTCCACTGCTCATCTATTGGCAGTTCATCCATCACTATACTGGAGGTTTATGGACATTTCATGCATCAGTTCCACTGCTCATCTATTGGCAGTTCATCCATCACTATACTGGAGGTTTATGGACATTTCATGCATCAGTTTCACTGCTCATCTATTGGCAATTCATCCATCACTATACTGGAGGTTTATGGACATTTCATGCATCAGTTTCACTGCTCATCTATTGGCAGTTCATCCATCACTATACTGGAGGTTTTTGGACATTTCATGCATCAGTTTCACTGCTCATCTACTTTCAGTTCATCCATCACTATACTGGAGGTTTATGGACATTTCATGCATCAGTTTCACTGCTCATCTATTGGCAGTTCATCCATCACTATACTGGAGGTTTTTGGACATTTCATGCATCAGTTTCACTGCTCATCTATTGGCAGTTCATCCATCACTATACTGGAGGTTTATGGACATTTCATGCATCAGTTTCACTGCTCATCTATTGGCAGTTCATCCATCACTATACTGGAGGTTTATGGACATTTCATGCATCAGTTTCACTGCTCATCTATTGGCAGTTCATCCATCACTATACTGGAGGTTTTTGGACATTTCATGCATCAGTTTCACTGCTCATCTATTGGCAGTTCATCCATCACTATACTGGAGGTTTATGGACATTTCATGCATCAGTTTCACTGCTCATCTATTGGCAGTTCATCCATCACTATACTGGAGGTTTATGGACATTTCATGCATCAGTTTCACTGCTCATCTATTGGCAGTTCATCCATCACTATACTGGAGGTTTATGGACATTTCATGCATCAGTTTCACTGCTCATCTATTGGCAGTTCATCCATCACTATACTGGAGGTTTATGGACATTTCATGCATCAGTTTCACTGCTCATCTATTGGCAGTTCATCCATCACTATACTGGAGGTTTATGGACATTTCATGCATCAGTTTCACTGCTCATCTATTGGCAGTTCATCCATCACTATACTGGAGGTTTATGGACATTTCATGCATCAGTTTCACTGCTCATCTATTGGCAGTTCATCCATCACTATACTGGAGGTTTATGGACATTTCATGCATCAGTTCCACTGCTCATCTATTGGCAGTTCATCCATCACTATAATGGAGGTTTATGGACATTTCATGCATCAGTTTCACTGCTCATCTATTGGCAGTTCATCCATCACTATACTGGAGGTTTATGGACATTTCACTGATTGTATGCTGACCATTTTCCACTGTCCCTGCTCGTCAGTCAGTTAACAATATTTTGTCCATCATTTTAACAATATTTAACAGTGGTTAATCTGTCTGTCCTGAATGTGAGTCAGCTGGCGTTTAACTATGACATCACTCATAGTACTAGACATCCAATGGTTGTTTCAGTCCCCAACTTTTCTGGTCTTCTCATTTTATGTTTTAGTCGATGTTATCCCTTTCAACACCAGGTTATGAAGAGTTTTTTAGTGCAAGCCTTGGTGTGCTACATAGATGCAAGTATTCACAGCTTCAGATATCTTTTG